GTACGAGGATTGGTAAACACTTGTACGTGATTGGTTAACACTGTACGTGGATTGGTTAACACTAGTACGAGGATTGGTGAACACTCGTACAAGGGATTGGTAAACACTAGTACATGGATTGAGTTCACCAGATAATTTGAGAAATAACTATCTTTGCCAAATTATAGACTTGTACAAAAATGTTCAGTCTATTAACGTTGTTTGCGCCCTCCAGGGATGAAACGCGTCTGAGAAGTGAATGGATGTTGGTGGCGTCGTCGACAGCGTACATCTTGTTTTTATCTGCAGTCATCCGCCAATAAAAGTATTATTTTTGAGAGATTGTAAAAGCGCTCACAATATCGACATTATTATGATCTGTGAACTTCTGACGATAAAAATAGTTTTGTTTTAAATGTTCTCTATACTAAATGATTGATGACTACACAACAAATCACCTTCATTCCTTTCACCCGTCATGGTAGGGCTTTGGTGGGCAATACATCATTTCTATAATTCGCGCCCTGGAACGTCAAAATGAATCGCAAACTGGTTTTATAATCTTTCATCACTCAGAATATAGTAAAATTTCTCAAAAACCACATTGATTGGTGAACGATTACAGATAAAAACTATAGCGACGATTTGAACGGCTTTCGTGTTACCCTTTCACGTTGAAAAGGTGTGTGGGAATCATGGTGTATTGGCGTAGAATCACAAAACAATATAACTTGAAATGGCAGCGGGAAAAGTAAATAAATGAGAAGTAAAAGAATTTGGAAGGCAAACTCTGTAAGGATGGGAGGACGACATTACCTGGTAACAGTGTTATCCAGTCTCACTAATAGTTTTTTCATGTCAGGATTATAATGAATTTCACTGACCAGCAAAGAACCGACAGTTGCCTGAGAAACGGTATAATGTGAGAGTTAATGGGCGATGACGTGACGTGAATTTAAAAAAAAATGAACATAAATGGTTCTACAAAAACAACTCAAAAGTCAGGTGTGCAGACAAAATCTTAAATGGAAAATACTTCAAATCGAATATTAATTTTGTTATATAGTACGTCGTGTGATTTGGTAATTCGATGCTAAGATTCGCAAAACATAATTACAACGGAATCTTCGAAACTACTCGGTGATGTATCTTCCGAAAGACCTTTATGCAAATTACGCGTTTAGAATACAAGCACAATGTTGACAATAACACAACTTGAATTCCAATTACATAGATGTTCAGTTTTACCTACCTTGACAACTGACAATACTTCTTTTTCGTCCTACAAATATTAACCAGATTGCCTATTATAGCCAGTCACGTGGCATTGGAAAAGCATCGATGGATTCGTACATGTACTCAGAAATAAGCACTCTAAGCGCCCTCCAGCGACAACGCGCTTCTATGACGCAAATGGGAGACTCGAAGGTCGTCATTTTTGTGATTTGTAGCCTTAGTCGATGACAAATATTGTTTTGGAGGGAATCACTATATTTTAAATACTGAATGGTTACACAACCAAACACAATTGTCACTTTGAATAACATTGGCTTTTCAATACATAAGCGACATTTTGCCTCCACAGAAACACATCATCGCTAGGAGCGCGACTCATAAGAAAGATGTGTTGATAAGATGTTATTCCATATTGCTAATTCTCTGAAGTTTAACCTATAGAAATTGCTTACCGCCAAATGTTTGTGCAACATTTATCATATTTTAACTGATTTTTCTATAATTTCTTTGTTCATTTTTAGACCACCATCGTGTACATGCCTTGGTGATTTTTGTTAAAGGAACAAGAGAAAATATGACAAACAAATATTCAAGTTTATTTAGTGAAATTCGATAACAAGGGAATTTGGGTGCCAGAGTTGCACAGTTAGCCCAGTACACTTGGGACTTTCATGAACGTCAATTTTGATTAACACTACGAGGTTATTTGACGATTTGATAATGACGTCATCTGACTTTCCGTATTCTGATCAAGATATCACAAACTGACAATAACCTTATTCATAAATGGCCGTCAAGATCTCGTTGAGAACGAGAGAGCAACGAGACTTGTTCCACAGATAGTGATCTGTGCTTAGCCGCCATCGTGTCACCGGTTACGTTGGCGCGGTCTGCGGAACAGTGAACGTGGTGACGACAAAGTATGAAACATAATTTTGTGGGAGCGAAAAAAATCTCGCAGCTCTCCCGCACTCAGCGAGATCTCGAAGACTTTTAACAGATACCTGAACGACAGTTGCGTATAATGGCAAATCTAGAACTATACCCTGATCTTCTTTTCGTGCAAGTAACGTACCACTCAGCGTTTTGAAATGTAAAGTTGTGTTCACGTTACCTGAAAGAGAATAGATAACGTGTATAAATAATTAGGACCCGACGACTATAACTATATTTGCAAACATTGGACGTTGGCGGCGTTTTCGTGATTTGTTAAAATTTGAGTTCTACGTACCAGATTTGCGCAAGGTCTTTGTATACAAAAAAAATCGAATATTGATATGCTTTACAAACTATTAAGATACCGCAAAGTATGTACTCAGACAGAGTGTCATGATTGGTCGATGTGATCGTGTAATCCCCGAGTGCACATATCACATTTATCATAAATAATCTCAATCCGATTGCTTGGTGATCCCCAGAACCGAGCAAGTTGTTGAAATAAATCACAATTTCTACTGAAATAATTATTCATAAAAGTAAAATACAAATTCATAATTAATATTGCCAGTCATTGTTAACAAAGAATGGCTAAAATGGACATTTTTTCAAAATCCAAATGTCGATGTTTCACATTCCAATTTAAATAGAATACAATCTAATAGTATTCATATTCTTATTTAGATATTCAAGAGATAATATTTCGATTTTTCGTAAAAATGAAAAATATAACATTACAACTTATCATTGCTTTCTCTAGCTAACGAATTTTATCAATTATGTACATTTTGCTCGGTGAAAATCATATCCTGTTTAATGACGAATTTTTCAAACTATATTTCTTTTGAGTAAAATAATACAAAACAGTACAGTGTACACCAGGGTACAGGCAGACTGAACTAGTGTAGGGGTTCGTACATTACAAAACATCGTCCGATTCACACGGCTTCGCTTGAGCCGACCTTCTATAGCCGTCCTTGCGAATGGGGAGGCGACGACCGAATGAGTAAACCTTGGTTGGCGAAGACAATTTCAACATTCAAGATACTTTCGTTACTGGCGAGTAGGGGAGGGGAGAGTCATTATCAGTTAGAGGTCATCGACCATTGAAACTGTCGCATAGGAAAAATAAATCATTCGAAACTGGTATCTGAGAGGAGTTTTTAATAGTATATATATATATATATATATATATATATGATATATATGTATATGTATAATAATTAGCTAATTTGCATACGAATAATTCGAAACTTGGTACTTACATACTGCATACTGAATTGTGTAGTTAATTGTCTTGTAATATTTTTCAATATTAGTAGGGTATGCTTATTAATTAGATAATTTGCATACACGTATTTGACTATTTTATCATTTTGCATCCTATTCAATAGTTTGAAATCATTCTATGCACTCTATGTTAAATTTACTTTGGAGCACTTTTTGTTGTCTTTAGTTATTATTTCAAGTTTACATATGGTGAGTTTTCTTTTGATTTTTGGGGTAAATTAAATTTTATTTTGTTTTGTTTATAATCCTGACAGAAGCGTTGATGATACAGATTTAACTGACGCGAGCAATGAGTAATGCATTGAAGATTGTTGGGGACATTGTTATTTGTCGGTACAACGTAACGTGGGGACTGCAACGAGAGTTGTACACATTCAGTAAGCAACAAGGAATCTCACCTTTACAGTGGAACAGGACAGCTGCCGAAGCCAAGGTTGCGTGACCACAGAGAACAACTTCGTTGGTCGGAGTGAACCATCGTAAATTAAACCAACTGCCTATTTAAGCGAAAACAAACCGTCAAGTTCATTAAATGGACATCAGGTTTCAGGCAATATCATGACCAGTCATCGCCACGAGCAACGCAAATTTGGAACACAAATCGAGGGCCACTAACAATAAAGGCGTTTGAGTTCGAATCCCAGTGGAATCGTTCGCGGGGAAACTTCAGATTGTTTGGTTTCGCGTATTGTATTATGTGGTGACGTTCACGTACAAAGGGCTGATGGAGTGGTTAACGTACTTGTGTGCTAGGGTAATAAATAAGGTAACACAGTTCTCATGGTAACTGTCCTTGCGATTTATCATCACCGGATGAGGGCTTTTAGAAATAAAAATACAATTCAAGAATGTACAATTTATTACCATAGATACCATATGTACTTTATAGAAATGTATAACACGGGGTCCGCCATTGCCACACTTACAAAAGCACATTTAGAAAGTAATGACAATGCTCATACCACACGACAGAACTACTGTAACCTACGCTAGATCACTATAATAGCCATGCACGAGCAGTTTGATTTAGAAGACAATCCAAGAGAAATCGCCGATGTTCCTCGAAATGATGGGCATGGGATATATCCTAGTAAGACCGTGATCGTGATAAAAAAAGTCTCTCACGCGTGTTAAGTTTAAAGGGGTGGTGGTCGCCGCGCCATGTGTTCGAACTTCGCGTAAACAAACAAAGCGCTTCACAAATCACGTATATGGGCTTATCGAACAGGACACGGCGCGACGACAATCGCCTTTTAAGACATGTGTTTGCTGATACATACTTTCTTTAAATGAGTCTCCATTACTAGAAATTTTCTGGATATAAGCAGTTTCTGATAGATTCATTTCAGATGCAATCTTCTGTCTTTCGATGTCAGGAATATCCTGGAACAATAATGCGTAAATACTATGGGCAACATAAAAAAATATATGCAGGGAGTTCAAAGTTCGTGTACACATACAATGTTTTACATGCGGTGCATATGTCACGGAGGAACACAACAAATACGCGGAGAGACGATGGGGAATATTTTTCATGCGTATGTACAAATTCATTTAATTTTGTATTCTCTTACGCATCATTATATGAAAAAGTAACATCATTGCCAATAAGTGTGCTGTAATGTCGATTTCACCTCGGTTAGCACATGTCTACGTGTACTACGCTGAAATGAATTACAGTAGTGATAATTGTTGAGTCTCCAATCTTGATCTAAATATGACATTGTTTCCGTAGATCATTAGCAATTACAAATGTAATGCATTGTGGGATAGTGTTGCCAGGTTACAAGAGCAGATGCGCTTTGTGATTTGCGGAGTTGTGTTTGATCACCAAAACTATCCCACAATTTACTATGATTTGGAATTGCGATAATTGTCTATTCGAGCCGTAAAAACATAATGTTGTTGTTCATTTTTCGCAAGGATTCAGTCTTTCATTCATTAATGATATTGTGCGGTGTATTTCCAAGACACATTTTAAACAATAAAACGCGATATTTTCGGTGGGATGATGATTTGATTTTCGGGATTCGTAAATAATTATGCGTTAAATTCGAAGCATCGCAGTATACGTTGCCATGGTTACATAGTTTGTTTTGTACACGCTCCCGCGTTAACGGATGTGAGTAAAACAAGTACTATAAACACATTAATTATTCACTGGGTTTTAATTTAGCTGGTAAGTAAAATCCGCTAAATTAAATCCAAGTGAACATGTAAATTAACAATAAAATTCATTGTTTCCTTGACAAATTCATGAAATTAAAACGCAGTGAATATGTTCAAAAGATCAAAGTAGTGAAATTAAATGAAAGTAAAAATAAATGGTTTTACAGTATTTAAACACGCGGTAAGGGGTATATATCTGAAGATATTACAATAAAATTAGCATAATAAACCGAATGCCAAGGTAACTGAGAACACATTACAGATGCCCAGTCGGCCTGTGCGTAAGTGTATTTAAAAAAACAGATCAGTAAAGAGGATTGTCGGATAATCAGTATACAAGTTCTTTTTTTTCTAGTACCTGAGATCACAGCAAATAACGTGTTTTTATTTTCAAGTAGAATTTACCACCTCGGTGATGCACATGCACAAAGACGCATTGAGAGATTCGATATGACTTTGTCGGTTGACTGATCGGTTTTATCACGCCTTTTTGCAATATATCCGGTGAGGTATTGTCAAGGTTTGCCAAAAATCATGAACGGTTCAGCGATTTTGAATTTGGCATGACTAGGTAGAATTCAATGATTCTGCAACACTGAGTTAACTGAATAACCGCCCAATTACATGGCGAAAACCGTAGACTTGCGTTCATTATGTTCCATTCCATGGGGGGGGGGTGCGCTTCTCGAGGTGCGCTATGTAATCATACACCACGATTTCTGAAATGAACATACAAGTTGTTTCATTTGAAACAAAAATAGGACGGATTGCGCGCGTTGCGCTGATCGACTTTCAGGAAAAAAACTGCATCACCGCATCGTTTTTTAAAAGAAACGTTGGACCAATCTTGGAGCTATTACTTCAAAGGAGGGCATCAAATTTTATCTGAAAAATGTTACAGAGATTATAATTTACAGGTCGAAAAATGTGTTCGGAAAACACGGCGTTTAGTAAGAGTTCGATGGTTATAATGACACGGTACACTGATTTTCAATTGAAAATGCAATAAAAAACGATCTAAATATTTTGAAATAGTCTATTCATTTATAAATAAACAACATTAATCTCAAATTCGGTTCATCCGTCGAAAAACTTGATAGTGATAGCTCTTTAAGTATTTCTATATACATTTCTATCTGTAGAGAATATGTTATTATACTACATTTACAAATATTACAAATTTCAGAGCTTATGTTCACAACCACCTGTTGAACACAAAATATATTGTGCAATAAGCAAGCGGAGTTGAACAGTACTTAAAATAGAACTAGGCTGACGTCACGAAACGATGACTGTACGTGAAACGAGTTGATAGTGCACGTGAATTGTTGAAAGCTGACTGTATACGACCAACATACATGACTACTTTGAATTATATTTTTGTACAGTTTCCCTAAAATGATAATTTCTCATCTTAACAGTTGTTAAACGTATTTGTGTATGCATACTACATGCAGTCTACATTGTTAGAAACAAAGTGCGCATGCTCCGTGGATACAATTCATCATCATATGCTCTGTCATATTGAATGATTGTTACTTTCTTCCTTCCTCCACTTATTCCAAGGTTTAATAGATATAACAAGATAATCCCTGGGTATACCGAACAAGCGTGACATCATCGCTGACGAGTGACTCCCCGTTTGGTAGTGGTCGTATCCCTACGGGCCGAGCCGCAGGCGGAGACAAATACAGCTATACAGGGAGAAACGAGTCAAGGTGATAACGTCACAAGCGAGAAATACCGGAGTTTATTTATTTGCCACATGGATAGAATCTGATGTTTTAAAATTACGTCCCGAGTTTCAAGGGGTCTATTTTGCGCAAACAATGCATAGAAGGTTATGGAGGTCAAAGCTGATTTCTGCGAATGACTGGTTGCGCTAAACTCTATCATGTTGCGTTATGGTTCATTACAAAAAGTTGATGAACGCCATAGTTTTGATCGCAAAAGGATCTCAATCATTGAAGGTAAACTTGGAGAAACATCACAAAATGAACATTCGTGTGCATCTTCGCATTGCCACTCGTCGGCATTTTCTTAATTTATCAATGCAAAATGTGGTATGAAAATCATGAATAAAAATAAAAAATATTCCTGAAACTCGTTCTGAAAAAAATACTCCTGTGAACTGTTACTGTGCTGTATCGCTATTTGGAGTCATTCGTTCACGTATTGGCCAGTACATCAGACGTGCCGGTGGGCTGTGGTAGCTTTCCGTGCGCATACCGCTAGCCCTGACCACAGCAGCGACGCGCCGGTGAAAAATTCTTGGAGAAGTCGTTGTTTTTCGACAGCAGTACTTTGGCATTCAGTGTAGTTCTGTCGGAATTGGTTGATATATTCGAACGTATTCGCCTTTTCATGAAATTATCGATTGAGGTTGTCATTTCGTCTAACGACACCCATACATACCACGTGACAAACATACAGAATATGTTATTTGTACACAAAATAGAATTTCTACATGCTATTTTAAAAAATAAAGCATCAGCTTTATCGATTTGACACGCGACCTACACAACGCTTGTAAAATACATTGTTTGTTTGCATTACATTTTAGCACGCGCTGCGCGACGACTATCTCCCTTTAACTGATTTTCGTTTACAATCCGAAAGTACTAGTATTACTATATAGTTCAGGAAAGTGGTAATATTGTATTTGAGAAATGTATATATTCCATATGTGATAATCGAACTTATCTGGGACTCAAGACTCAATCAAAGTTACATTTTCTGTCTAATATCGATCTAAAATTGAACTTCTAACGTTATTTGATAATTCTGTGCCAAAAAACCTAAAGTGGGACACCTTTACAATACTGATCTATATTGGACACAAAGAAAACTAAAGTTTGACTTCAATACCCATATAAAAATTCGATGATTATCAGTCTCATAATTATCTGAGAATTCTGTTTCTAAGACGAAGGCTCATCCCTTCTGTCTAATAACGGTCTAAAACTTCAATAATTATCTGGTTGCTCCTGGCAACAATTACAAAAAATATAATAACATAAAAAAGTATTCTCACATAAAGAAAACACAGATTTCTTTTAAAAACATGTAAGGACCATGAGCTTAACAAAACTTGCTGTAATTTCCCCAACCGTCAGGCGTGTTTAACACAACTGGCAATATTTAGTACTGTAAAATGACTAAGTTGCACTGGGTTTAAAATACGCTGATTTACCATTTCAGGCATATTCAGTGGGTTTTAAATTAACGGTTTTATCATTTAGATAATGTGTTCTATGCTAAATTTTACATATTCACGGGGTTTTATTTTAGCGCATTTTCCAGTCAGCGAAATAAGCAAAATTAAAACCAGTGAATAATTAACCCTTTTACAGTATTAAGGCTTTGACAGAGTCTGGAGCCGTGCCGTGCCAACATCAAATCCCACGATGATATTATCAAACAAAGTCGGGAGAAAAGTGATAGATGTTATGATGGCTGGTGGTGTTCGTTTTACAACCTGTTAAGCTAAAGAGCGGCGGTCGTCGTGCCGCGTCCTGTTCGATAAGGGACTCATAGCGACGTATACAACGCCTGTAAAATAAATTGTTTGTTTACATGAAATTCGAAAACGCGCAGCGCGACGACCACGGCCCTTTAAGAAGACGGACATGTCTAATAACACAATCATGTTAATCTTTTTAATAATTAACGTCAATGTGAACACCCATACTCTCTCGTCGATTTCGCGATTCACCTGTCACAGCGGTAAAAATTTCTCTGAACAATATTTATCAGTAAAAAACGTTCTGTCCTATGCCATCTATGGCATGCCACCCCGCGAACCAAGTAAACATGTTTAGTACATGGCCACCGACGATAACACACGTTACAAACCTTTCAAAGTGGTCGTCCGTCGTTATTGCGGGATTGACTCGAACGGTCGTGGCGTGTGATCATCCAAACCTGCTTATAGGAGACAGAGTATAATGTCCAGCAATGTGAGTCAATTTGGGTAGGCACTGGCTCAACCAATCAAAAGTGAGCCGATAACTCAATATACACATTTTGTTCCAACATTAGTATACACCAAAGATTTATGGCATGCGGATATGCAAATGTTTGATACGCGATGAAGATTTCACGCAAATTGCGAGACGATCCCAAAATTGCGAGACAAACGCACATACTAATTGCAGACGAATGAGTCTGTGTTAGTATTCGTCTCGGGCTGCTTAGCTAATGTTCTTGCTTATTCGCAAGTCGTGTATCACGTCAGTAATTACGTTGAATTTGCGTGTTTGTATAGGGCGATAATTTCTCTCGCTTCGTTCTACGCAATCGAGCTGGTAATAACAAGCGTCCGCTGGGTTCTGCGATTCTATTGAATATGATACGTTATAACCAGCATGGAACTCGCGAGATCATAAGATCTCACGTGATGTTCATCGCATGCGAGTATCACCGTACACAGGTATCAATATTGTATACTCATGTCTTAAACATTATTGTGCACACTCACACGCCATAAAACTGTCACCACCTCCCATATCAAGTAACACCCATGACCACAAGTTTACTCGTTGCACGTACAAGCCATTCATGCATCGATTCACATCGGTATCGGTATCGGTATTTGACTGCGTTACCTTTTCAAGAAGACATACCGCAGCCGGATTCCCCGCAAACCGCTTTGCCGTGAACGCATCTACGATAAATACGTCCAGACTTCCAGTTTCTGACGCTTCCAAAGTAGCCATTATTATGTATATGATTTTGCAACGTGCGAATACTATAACATGTCTACATGTCGTTAATATCGTACTGCGCATGTCTCGTGATCCCCCACCAAAAGGTCGTTAAGTGCAAACGTTCAGTGAATAGACGTGTGATGTGTGCAAAAGGTCGAGTTCGTTGAATATCCATTGAAAGCATTGCCATTAGTTGCATTGATCCACAGTTGTGGTATGCATATGAAAATAGGAGCGGCAACCGATTTAGAAAAAAAACCGCTGTGTGCGTATCGTTTGCCATTTCGTGACTCCAGGAGTAAGTGTGAAAATACAGTTTAAAAAGAGAGCGTATGATGGAGCGTATGCATGGGCAAGAAAGTGAATGGACGCTATCGCTATTTTCCAACGTCTCCAGTTATATTACCTGAAAAAGCGTGGACGAATTCCGAGTTGCTCGGCGTGATTATACATACAATAGAACACGCGGTATTTCCTGTGCACAACGTGCTATTCGGATTAGATCTTGACTAAACGAAGACAATATTCGCAGAGACGAGATCAGAAACAGAGGAACGGTCTGGTTTCAATATAGTAAGTAAAAAGCAATGTTTTCCCCACCGTTTATTTTTCATTAATTTTGAATTATTTTCCTGAAACTCAAACAATGATGTGGACGTAAAGACGAGATGGCATTGTGCACACTGAAGGGGGTACTCTGACACTGAGAAGCCCTGCGGAATGTTTTTGAGGAATGATTACTCTTATATGTAATGGTAATACCTGGGGGCAGGGGCGAAAATTCTCCCAATACAAGTGACTTCGGGAAAGTATGTCAGCGACCCACCTCGCGACTAATTCAAGAATCATACTCGTCGCTTTAAGTGCCTCCAAATTAATACGTTCAAAAGTGTCGTTGCCTTTTATCATTAATAATAATAATAATATAAAATAAATGAGTTGGTAGAGTGGTTGCTAGAAAACCAGGAAATTTCCCCCAACTTAACTGCGCACATCAATTGCCATGGTAAATAGAACACACGTAGAGGCAGGCAGCCTGGGTTTTCTAGAGTGTTCGATTAATTATAGTACACGATATACTCTATATAAACGATTTTATGAACGCATGGTGGCCTTTATCATTACAAATGCCTTGTACGACATATGTGACCTCCGAGACATGATGAAATACCGCCGCATGCCTGCATACAGGTTATAGTAATTGCAGGTCTCAACTAAGAGGTTAAAAGGATTCGTTAGATTTATTGGGGTTCGCAATTTAAGAGCTGCTTGCCATATATGCAGACACAAGTTAGTGTGAAAACGGCGCATTACTCAAGCCTCGCCCCTTACCTCTACTTGTCATAATGTCAACTAACGCGAATATTCCAATAAGGAAAATGTCATGATCGTGAAACATCATTCAACTTATTCGGCCTGCTTTTATAAGTATAATTTACACTGATCAACTCTATTTCGAATTATTGCCATAGAAACAAAACATATATTTGATTCTATAAGCATGGTCATGTTTTGTTTCTGTTATACAAATCATCGGGATTCGCACTAACCTTCTATGGGTATTGTCAACCTATTCATAAAGTGCATAATACTGTATACATACGTACACAGGCATTCCGTTGCAGAATTGGCGCTCGTTGACAATTTTGAAGTATATCTCATCTGACATTCTGTGACATATTGGTGAAAGCTAAATCATGTCGTACACCATCATAGGGAATTCATCTTTCACCAGACCTGATTAATGAGATTGGCTAATTTATGGAAACACTGGATGGGTGATTCTAGTGAGTTGAGTGCTTAATCATTATTGTTTACTCGGTGAGAATTATGCCGATTAGATTGGGTTGGGCGTGTGTTTAATCGCAAAAGTAATGCCATAATAGGCGGAGCGATGTTTCATCACTCCGATAACACAAAGATGTTAATAATATTGTATCCAATCTCACTCTGCCAGTTTGTTTTGTTTTTTTACAAATTAAAACAAATCGCGTCGTGTATATAATGTTTGCGATCATGCTGAATTTGGCGTTCTTAAATCAAAAATGCCAAAATTGTGACAAATATTGATATTAAAATATAGTATCATCACATTATGATATGTCTATATATAACGGGGGATGTGCTGATATTAATTTATTATTTAAAATATGACATGGGATGTGTTGAATTTAGGCAACAATATTGGTATATAAGTTGTTTAAACACCGGTGCCATGCTGCCATACCACGACAATGTATCGTCGCATTTCACCAGAACTACACGGTGGGTAGGTTCGACGTTGCAATGTGATGTGTGTGGGAGCGTTTAATCGGTTATTACTTTCGCCGAAATGTTTATAATACTCGTCGTTGCAAAGTTGGTCACTGATATCCTTGTTGCTCTGTTGTACCAGCAACGTCTGTTCGGGTGCTACCATTAACGACTGTCTCAAATGATCGTTTTATTTTTGCGGCGTATATGCAATTTAGTAATATGTAGTGATCGCTGAATTCAATGCCCATACCATGCGGACCCAGCAATAACTCCCGCGTTCTTCTTACTCATTCCTTCCGTCCAGGGAAAAGGACAACAATTTTGTAATTGGCGCCATTTTGGGAGTCTTATCGTACATGGTACCTACATCGATGTGCCAAAACTCCGGCTTGAGAGCTTTAAAATGTGGTCATGTGACGAAATTGAGCATATAATTGACCAATAACAAAGCATCTTGGACACAAAGCCAGGACAAAGAAGTGTGGCAAGCATGGCGGTTTGGAAACTCATATGTTAGCTGAATCCTGTTGGAATCAAACTGGTAAATCTCACTTGGAAAACACCGTACCAATGCACTGAGCACGGTAAGCAATATTTCCTGCTTCCAGTTACATTTTGGAGAAGAAATTTAGTGACTGAACGGATAATGGATTCTTAATCAATGTCTTTGTTAATATCGCGTGCCCACGAGGGCGAAGATAGGGCTCGCAAATTTTAGTTTTTTTCCTTCTCAGTCGTCGACAAATTGCTTGAATCAACTCGCATTCCATTGGGGGTGTGGCACTTTCAACGTTATAAGTCACGTGAAGCTCGGAAAATGTATATTTCAAGCATATAACGCTCATTCAGAGTCGTAAATTGTGTCCGGAAAACATCGCAGGAAAGGTTCCTTATTGTTCAGAGATTTCTACGATGCGATATGTCGCCTATCGCTTTTGCTGTCTAGCCTAGCTTAACCACGGTTCTCACGGATCGATCCGAGTTGTTTTTTTATTGCCCTGCTTCTCGTCTGTCCGCCTCTATGTGTTCTCAATGGTGGTATACATGGCTGGGTTATTACTTGCACTCAGATACGGCGTCTGGGTTTCATTGTGCAACTCATTTGCTCAAGTACTCTTCGTCGTTTTTCCGTTATCCATGCTCGAAGACATTTCGTCTTGTTCAATGGTATACCTTTGCCAAATACAAGAAAATCCTATTTGTTGGACTATCATAGACGGCGAGTGTATCAGTTCAGGACGTTTATGCGTTGACTTAGTGTCCCTGAATCAAGGCTTATCGGTAAATCGTAGCTTCAAGAAAAAAAATACTCCTTTTAACATCGCACAACTATAGGAGCTGTGAACAGGGGAATGTATTAAGACTCAAAGAGCTTACTTTATGTTGCAATATCAGTATAATCACTGAAGATATTCGACTCTTCCGTCGCTTATGTGAAACGTTCAATTTGAGCAAACACATCGAGTATTCTACAGACAGAGCTTGGAAATCGATGCCAGGTACTCAGGGTAGTGTTTACAAACACTCGAGAAAAGTGCTTATCTTCATGTTCGGAGCGTAATCTTACCCACGACTGTATGCGAAAATTGATTTTTTGGAAGCACAATTCTTTCCGTTCTCCGTTTAAGGTGTTAGAGAGAACCTTAAATTGAAATTGTCATATTGTTTTTGGTAATCGAACTGCTGTTCTCATTGGGAAAACTAAAGGCTCATATTTTCACATTTAAACGTGTTCTTGGCATTCATTTGTCAATGTCTTGGTATCTTTTCGACCACGTACTTCTCAGTCAAGTTTAAAAACCTACAGAGAAGAGATCGTTTTGCTATTATTCAAATATCTGAAAATATTCTAGAGACGGAGAACAAAAAACTAGCGCAGTGTATTCTAGTTGGTGCTTTCTTTAACCAACCATTTGCATACAGCTGGTCTAGACTTGGATGCTGCTTGACAATAAAAACAGGTTGGACCTTATTCTGACCCCGCAGTTTAACAGGCGTTTCCCCGCAATGTTTCGTATATAATCACCCCCTGAAATTAGTTATTTGTGTGCAATGCACATGATATCGACAGTGCGTCTGGCAACACTTTTGTTAGCCTGCGTGGGAAGAGAGAGCCCAAGCCAACACGAGTCTCTCGGTAGAACATGTAAATTAATTATGTATATAATAATTGTTTCAGCGCACGAAGCGTGCAAGTAGGCTGTTTATAAACGAATTTTGTTCAATGAAAATTTGGTGAACGTAACAAGCAACTCGATTCTGTATATTGATTGCATCTATTTGATTCGTATTAAGCTACTACTAGAACATAATGAACTATTGATATCTTTTGTTGATAGTTTTTGCTCACAGTGTCATTGCGATCTGGTGACGTCCACTACTCTGGTATTGTAAATCCCTTGAATCGCGTCATAAGTTAAAAATGTTGAAGCCGAATGTCCACTTTTGTAGCACGTGGCGTTATAGTTTTGTTATTCCCTTATTTTGCGTCATTTTGATAATTCGGTGAACACCTGGACTAGTAATTAGTAAACTGGTAATGTGTCAACATCTCCAATTCTAATGTTTTAATTGTACGGGTTGTTTTTCGTTAGCGGAGCGCACCGTGTATTTGATGGTATTATAGGAGTTTAGAGTTTGTTTCGTGCTGTGTAAGGTATGAATGACTACCGCCGCTAAACGCACTAAAATGCACCCGCCCCCACCAGAATGTTGTTTCTATGTTTAACACCGTAATAGGGGATATTTTGTCTTCGTCGAAAACTCAAGCATATTTCAATGAACTGTACACCAAAGTTTCGTCGTAGTGGGATAGCAATTGTTTTGCAG